AGTGATCCAAGATCTGTCTGGATCATGGTACATCAAGGGAACTGATGAATCCATGACCAGAGTGGATTCATCGGTTCTTTTGATCCAGACAGATCTTGGATCACTGATCCTGATCCAGATCACACCAAAGGAATGCACCCTTAGTTGAATCCGAAGAAATTTATACTTAATCGTGCCTTTTTAGTACATTTGGTAGAATATTGCCTATATCAGGCTAATTTGGTTGAACCATGGTTTGTATTTTGGTGAGGCATAGCTGAGCCAAAATACCCATGATGAGACCAAATGAGTCTTATATGCCACCAAAGCATACGAAAAAAGGTACACTTAGGTATTTACTGCACCCAAATTCAGCCAGGTGACTATGATATCAACACAGCGATATAAGTTCAATGACTTGATATCACAGGAAATCAGGAGAGTAGAAAATGCTTCCAATTGGCTAATTGTAATTTTGGGTATGGTAAAGTATGATAACAGTTATGTGTTCTAGAACAACTAGAAGTACTGTTACATATCTCATTTGTGTTTGTGTCAAAAGGCCTCTACAGAGTATCTCCATACCTCTTGGTCTGGTGCTGTGCCTTGCTCTATTTCCCGCCCAGTTTGCGGATTTCTTTCTCCAATAGAGAGTATCGTAGGTTCTGTCATTATGGCAGACAATGTTGTGTTGGTAACTCTGGGGTGAAATAAACGTCTTTGTTGTTGTTGTTGTTGTTGTTGGTACCTTAACTTGTTTTAGAATCTTCATCCTCCAAGAATGCCAAGAAAAATACCACAGATATAAAGATGTTGAACATGGCTCAAATGAAAAAACTTGAGGTTGTGGAGGTCTCCACAAAACCTCCACCTTCTCTACCAGTCCTGGACCTTGACAAAATTGACAAAAAGATTACCTCTGCTCTTGAGCAGAAGCGACGAGCAGCGGAGAAAATAGGCATCAATGTCACACCAGGAGCACAAAAACTATTTGACACCATCAACAAAACGTATGTGTATTGTAGTTAATGATAAAACCTTGAGCTTGAGGATTTTACATGGCAATAGGCCCTTTGCAGCTGGGGTCACAGGACCAAATTTTTC